CAGTCTTGGGTGGATGTTGGTGACCATGCCGAATCTGGGGATTTCGTGCCTCATTATCTGTAAAACAGACGGGTTAGACCCTACCCCCACCAGACTCGACTATTTAACATCAATAATTAACATTAAGCATTTAGTTCTCCAAATAAATGCACAGAACGTGATGATGTCCGTTTGGGTTTAGGGAAACCCAGTGGACTTTGGACAGGGCTATCTTAAAGGATCATTATGTGGACAACATAACTGACCCGACTAGGTTTGACCATGATGCATGTACAATTTAAACAGAGTAAAGTTTCTATGGGGTTTTAGACTGGTACCCTTGAGCGGACAACTCAAGGGGGAAGGCACGGAATCGTCGACTACACCGTTGATCGACTGGTTTTACCGTAAATATGCCTTTCCGACTTTAGGGGGTAATAATATAGGAAGAGCGCAACCACTCATTATAAGCGTTGCTATGGTACTTGTTTGGCACGAGTGGAGTATGATGTTGAGCATGATTATGCAAAAATCAAAAAGCATGTTGTCACGTATTTGCATGTTAAGAAAGCAGTAAATACAACAGTTTATAATTTGAAGCAGTAATAAAGAAAAGAAACGAAGAAGATAAGTCAGTTTTGCCTTGTAAAAGAAATTAAACGCTTAAAGAAATTTAAATAAGTAATTGCATATAAAGGGGAGGTACAAATTCACAAGAACAATCTGAAATGGTAAAAGCCTAATGTCCCCAGCAGAGTCGCCATGCTGTCACGCCCCCTTTTTTCCTTCTTTGCATCGGGAGAATGGGGTTTATGACATTTGGGTATGGGACAACTCGTTCCTTTTGGGAACTGGTTTTTGCATTTTTTTTGAAGAGTCGCCACCTAATGATTCATGGTGCATTAGGACACCTACAAGGTTCACTTTTGAGTTTGTTTGATAACCAGAGATAGGGTGAGGGCTTGAAATTATCCTAAGGGGAAGGTGTTAGGCACCCCTCAGGATCCACCAGTGTGGTTCCCCGCCAGACAATTCTTTTTGAATTTGGTACAATTAACATGCAAGCAGATAAGGCTCAAATAAGAGGGGATTTTAATACACAAATGCTTGGAAGTAAAACAGAGCAATCATTAAAAAAATCTGATTTTTTGAAAAGAAGTCATAATACTTTAAAGGCAAAGAAAGAGAGGGGAAGGGGGTCCTAGGTTTATTTATAATATGGATCACATCAATGCAATACCCGGTAATCACTCCTCAAAAGAGGGGCTACACGTGGTATTAGCGAACAGGTCATCATATCCATATCTACCCTTCCCACCCTGTTAAGGTACTAAAGCACGGATAGGTCTCGGCCACTAGCATGCTATTACCCGCCACATTCCTATCAGTCCCGGAGGCACTTAGGACTACTATTCCTAAAAGGGAGGGATATTAGGCTGACTTGGAGTTTCAAAGGTGAAAAAATCTAAAACGACATACAAAACATATAGGACAGCACAATAACAGGGGAAGCACATAAACAATGAAGGCTCATATATACCTCCTCAAACAAAGCAATTAAATAGCATGACTCAAACAACAAGCAGGGTCTGAAAATATTAAGGCAAAAGGGGAGTTTAAGTTGTTGAAGCAGACCAATTTATTACATAACTCAGATAAGAAGTCCGAATCAGGCCTGCCTGCTGGTTGTAGCAGTTATTAATTAACAGAAACGGGTTCAGCTTTATTTGTTGTTATTACTTAAGGTTTGCCTAAGTGTTTGGGGTAAAATCTTATGAGCATGGTATCTATTACTGATTCAGAATGTGTCAAAGCAGTAACAAACTTAAAAAACGAGCGGTTTGAAATCCTATAGGCATGCTTGCTAAATCGTGTTAAATAGGGAGATTAAGTTACTTAAAAAAAACTGGTTTAGAATAGACTGATTTTAAATTAGACTAGCTTCAGATTCTGATATCCATCATTACTGGTTTTAACTCCTATAGACATGATATCTAGTGTTGCTGATTTTAATTCCTATAGACATGATATCTAGTCGAACGTGAAATGGAAACAGGCAGGATTTTTACTTGGGAATTCCCATGGGCATGATTTCTATACATTATACTGATTTTAACATTATGAACATAATACCTGCTTATAGCCGTTTAGATCCTAGAGCATGATATCTAAGTGGTAACAAGCATGCAGAGTTTAAAATAAAGTCCTATATGCAGGTTATCTAGGTGTGAAATTGAACATGCGAAATTTGAAATGAATCTATATACATGGTGTCTAAATGCAGAATTGAACACGCAGGATTTAAAACCAGTCCTATAGGCATGCTTTCTAAATGCGGAATTGAATCATTCAGAACACAAATCCTATAGGCATGTTTTCTACCCTTGAGCATGCATAATTGCCCATCCCTTCTTCACTAGCCAACCTTAAATATTTATTGCAAATTATTACAGACCAGTAATAATGAATTACATCAAGAAAATATGTAAAAATAGGAAAGTACAACCATAGGAAGCCTGATTGTGACTTCCTCTCTGAGTTATGGAACAAAACGCCTCAAATACCACTTGTTTCAAAGCCTTTCTCGGACCTGGGTGTGTCAGAGTTCCCTAAGGGTCTCAAAGGACACCGGGCAGTGCTTACACCTAGGTTCATAGAACCAGATAGGGATGAGTGCAGTGTGGAAGGGTCAGCCCTTATGTGTCTAAGTTCAGAGGGAGCTCATGGGTCCCAAGGCAAGGCTCACACAAGAGGGGCAGAACTTAAATCTAAGAAGATAGTGAAAGTGCAGGAATAGAGTTTTAAAACTGAGGGGATAGAGGAGAGGGGTAAAGGGTGATAGGGAAACAGTAATTAGTAAAACACAGAGTTAATAACTTCATACAAAGGGGGTCAGGGGTTGGGAATCCATTGCAAGGAGCCTATGTATTTAGGCAGGGGTCAGCTTTGGGCATGCACAGCAATAAAAGGTGCTGGCATGCCTATATGCAATTCAGAACACACAACAACTAGAGGAGACATGGAGGTTATGATCCCAGGGGGATCAAGTTTGGGTCATGCACAGCAATGTTCAATGATGTCATACCCCAAACCAACCACACATACCAAACACATTGGGGATGGGGATTTAGGGTTCAAAAGCCATGATAAGTAATTAACAGAAGCATTAATTCTAAACAGAAAAGGTAGACTACAGCATGCTTAATAATGGAACTTGGTTAAATACAGACAGGAGACAAACAAGGATGAAAGAAACAGTAAAGAAACATGTTGTTGTTGATGCTGAAAATTAGTTAGAACATACCAGTAAAGATGCAAACGCACAGAAAAATGAGCAAGCTTCCCACAGCCTAGCCTTGGCTTTCAGCCGGCTAGGTAAGGCAGCAATACAAGTAGCAAAGAGAAAAGAGAGAGATTTTAGTGAGGTGTGTGTCTGAACGCAAGTGTTTTATGCCTTGTGTTCGTGTGTATTGAAAGAAGAGGAGTTGGGTATTTATTGTTTTGAAAACATGTGAGAAATAAGGCGGTAAATAAAGTTCAATGCAACTATGGAAGTAATCAGCAATCAGAATCAATAAATCAAGTGATTCTCCTTTAATTGAGGAATCACTTGTTTAACGGGGCTATCAGGTTCAAAAGAAGGAAAGAAAATCAATTTGCAGGCAGACTGATTATTACCATAAAAGAAAGTAGTAAAACATTAAGTACACAATCGAGTCTAAGTACAGAGACACACTTATTTTGGGGAAGGACTGAGCAAGGCAAATGTCACACCTCCTTTTTTGCTACACCCGCAAGGACGTAAAGGAGTTTTTCCACTTAAAGGACAATCGGAACAGGATTTATTATTAATATTTCAGAGTCGCCACTTGGGAGATTAATGGTGTCCTAAGTCACCGGTTGAATCCCGAACCGAAGAAATTATGACTCTGTTTAACAGTCCGCGATCCAGAAATCCGAGTAAGGAATTCTGTTAACCCGGGAGAAGGTGTTAGGTATTCCCGAGTTTCGTGGTTTTAGCACGGTCGCTCAACTGTCATATTTGGCTTATTTATTTGATTTTAGTACATGTTTTAACCTATGTGCTTTTTAACTTTGAACCTCTTTTATTATTATTGTTTTAAGAGAATTGCAACGTCGTGAAAATACATCTCGAACCGCGTCACATAAATGCACCCACAATTTTTGACACATTTCGACTTCGTTGGGATTTGGATTTGGGTCACATAAATGTGCACCCGTATTTAGGAAGGTAAAATTATTTAAAATACGTGCCTAAAGTAGCTAACGTGTTATNACTTATTGTACCCGGTATGGATAATCTTCTACTGGGGGTAATGTTTATCCATAACGGAGTATCGAAAGGATAAGCTTATTGTACTAGGTATGGAAAATCTTCTACCGGGGGTAATGGTTATCCATAACGGAGTATCGAAAGGATAAGCTTATTGCACCCGGTATGGATAATCTTCTACGAGGGGTAATGTTTATCCATAACAAAATATCGAAAGGATAAGATTATTGTATCCAGTATGGATAATCTTCTATCGTGGGTAATATTTATCCATAACCGAGTACCGAAGTGATAAGCTTCTTCACGGGACTTATTTTCAATAGAGTACTAAATAGATAAACATATTTACGGCGAAGTTCTATATAAATAAACTTTTTCAAAAAACTCATTTACAACGAAATAATAAATGAACATCCATAATATAATACATTTATAACATGTATTAGTTTATAGCCACCAGGAAAATTGTATTACAATTCCTAAATCGTTTGCGATAAGAACATGTAACGAGGTAAAGAAGGTAAACTGAATGGAGATTCGAAACGAAAAGTACACCGATCTCCATCGTCAGCCCACGTGTAATTTGTCTAAAACAAGCGGGAAAGAATCACCGGCTATGACGGTTAATCGTCCATTCAGTTTCTTAATGCATTAAGGATTTGTACATATATGACAATATTACCCCTGGGCCCTGAATAACACCATCACACCTGATTGTATTTGGAATCCGACAAGGATAAGAATACGTGGCTGTAAAGCACATTTATACCTCTCCTTCCTAGCCGGCCGTTAAAAAAAAAGAAAAAAAAAGAAAAGAAAGTGGAACACAAGATTTAAGCAAAAAAGGAAACGAAAAAAATAATTCGGGTACCAAAAGGAAACAAATAGGAGTCTGATTTGATTTGAATTTTGGAATCTCCGGCGATGGGACGGGCAGAGATGGTGGTAGGCCCGTCGGCGGCGGCGGTGGCGTACCACCTGAAGAATGAGGCAATTAGTTGGTGGGAAGAGGTGAACAGATCTCGAGCTTGGCAAGACCGTATATTCCACGTCCTCGCTATCCTCTACGGCATTGTCTCCGCCGTTGCTCTTGTATTTCTCTCTTTCCCCCCTCTGCTTTTTGAAATTCTGAATTTTCTGAATGTAAATTGGATGTTATTTGGTAAGTAAGCTCGCGCACACGCATACACACATATGTATCGCAATTCGCAGATTTATGAAAAATCTGATAATTGTTTCGTGTTTGCTTGTCTATTAGGTGGTAATTTACTAGACCTCGTTATTGTGAGTTTTGAATTGAATCTTCTGTGCATCGTGTAACTTCAGAAATCAATCGGAATGTCAAGGGAATGAAATTACACGAGAGCTCTATGAAACTTTCAAATTTGAGGCATATTTGACTTGTGTTTGGCGGCACTTGCAACAAATATGGAAACTTGATAGATATTAAAACAAAATTTGAAACGGAAAAGGAAAGTTAGGTAAAACGTTTAATAAATGATTGCATGGTTTTTCTCCCTGAAAGTTTTTGATTGTTTTTAGTTTTTTTTTTGGGTGGGTGGGTGGATTGGAGTTCACGCTGGTCATTTAATCATGGCAAATTATGAGGAGGTCAGGTGAACCAGGGAAATCTGCACTTATAATATGTATGTATATTTTTGGTTAAAGTTAAAACTGTTTTAATTTCTCACTAATTTGTTTACGTGTGGGAAAAAGAGGGGCACATTTGTAGTTTGATATTTGAAGCTTCACCAAGTTGGTTTTGTCTGTGTCTCATTGATTGATTTTGGTATACTTATTTAAAGTTTAAGGTCATATGTGTGTCCGCGCACATCAAATAATTATATTGTTAATCAGTTGTTGCTCTCAACAACTGTTCTCGCTGGCGCAAATACATAAGTTTATCTGCTGCTGTGGAATTTTTTTCTGACGTTCCAACTTGGCAATTTCAGGTTCAATTAATTCGCATTCAAATGAGAGTTCCTGAATATGGTTGGACCACTCAAAAAGTCTTCCACTTTCTCAATTTCTTGGTGAATGGGGGTCGGTATCTTTCCTTATTCTAATTTTCTCCCCTTTAAGATCCTAATGGGGAGTTTCATTACCCATGTTTTTCAAATGATTAGTCCTATACGCTACTCTTTGTTTTGATTGTTGGCTTTGTTATTTAGTTGTCTCCCTTCATATTCTTTTGCAGTTCGCTCGCTAGTTTTTGCATTTCGGCGGGATGTTCAGAAATTTCACCCCGAGGTTAGGCACCACAACTATCTTGATGTCCGTTTGATGTCTTTGTCTGTGCGCTCCTTTCAGTTCGTAACGTTGTATGCTACATTTTGGCAGATTGTCCAACATATTTTGCTTGATATGCCAAGTCTTGCATTCACATCTAGAGCAACATTATCTTGATCTTCTTTATCACTGGACCTCATACCAGGAGCCAAAATTTCCAAGGGCTCAATATCAAAGTGTGGAGAAGGAGTAGGGTCGAAACTAACCTAGGAAAAGGATCCTTGACCTAATTCCTCAGGAGAGGGGTTAGGTCCTTCAAGAGGGGTCCCAGTAGTCTCTGCTGGTGCAGAATTTTCAAAAAGCACCACAGCTCCTTCTTCCACTAACAATTGTATCTCTTTCCTCGGAGACTCAAGCATAGAAGAGATCACCCATACACTATTCCATCAACAAATATGGCCAATATGTTTTCTACAGCCTCTTTCTTTTGAGACTACATGGGTGCCACAAACTAAGAAGTGGGAACAACTGTAGACTGATCAATACTAACCTCTAAGACCTCTACTACATGCGGAACTTTACTCTGTTCTCCATCATTGCTTTGTTTAGTGAGGATTTCAGAAGATAAAGAAGAAAGGCTATCGGGTTTTGGGGTTTCTGAGTTCTCATCATTTGGAAAGAGAGAGAGGTCTGAGAGAGCGACAAGAGAAATAGAGGGTGTAAGAGAGTCAGGTTTTGGAGAGTCTCCGACAATGGTGGTTGAAAAGGGGATGGTGAGAGGTGTTTCACTAGAAGCGAAAGAACCAAAGGTTTTCTCAACTAAGGAGGGGATTATTGGTTGATCTTCAGCCATGGCAAAGATGAAGTTTGAAAGTTCTGGAGAAGAACTGAAGAAAAGATATGATTGTTCAAAGAGAGGAGAGGGTTTTAATAGGAGAAGAGATAATTATGAGGGAGAGAGAAACCGGTTCTGAAACGGTGGTAGTTTTGTGGGGAATGGCAACATTTCAGAGGGAGATGAAGGGATTTGAAATGAAAAGACGTGACATACGGAGTCTGAAAAGGTTGATGACATGGCACTTGATTTTTGCATCCTTTTGAGATATGTATGAAAAAACACAAGACTACTAACATGTGGTACAAGAACCTGGTTCTTGACCCGTCCTTTAAAAGTTCTCAATCCTCTTTTACCTGTCATGCAATGCTTTTGCAGTTACTATAATCATCATGCGTGTCTACCTGCAACGGTATTGAAGTGATTTAGATTTGGCCGAAAAACACTTTAGCTAATGTTACCTGAATGCGACTTTCATAGCCAAATAGTGGGAATTATGTTCTCAATTTGGCCTTAATAGCCCCCGCTTCAGCCTATTTCTCTCAAAATGTTCTCTGCTTAGTGCTTTGGTAAAGATATCTGCAATTTGGTCCTCTATACTACAGAACTTCATATAGATAAGCCCCTTCTCCACATTGTCTCTAAGAAAATGATATCTCACATCAATGTTCTTGGTTCTTTTATGTTGAACCGGGTTCTTGGCCATGTTGAGTGCACTGGTGTTGTCACATAGAAGAGGCACACAATCAGTGAACACACCATAATCTTCCAATTGCTGTTTGATCCATAGGAGCTGAGCACAGCAGGAAGCTGCAGCAAAATATTCTGCTTCAATTGTTTAAAGAGCAACTGAGTTTTGCTTCCTTGTGCCCCATGAGATGAGGCATGATCCTAGAAAATGAGCCATTCCAGAAGTACTTTTCCTGTCCACAAGATAACCTGCATAGTCAGCATCAGCATACCCAATAAGATTATAATTATCACCTGAAGGGTAGTACAGGACCAAGTCCTGTGTTCCCTTAGGATATCTCAAAATTCTCTTGGCAGCCTTCAAATGAGATTCCTTGGGATTTGACTGAAACCTTGCACATAGCCCCACACTAAAGACAATATCAGGTCTGCTGGCAGTGAGGTAGAGAAGAGACTCAATAATTGCTTTATACATGGTTTGATTAACAGGAGAGCCAGATTCATCCATATCCAGTCGAGTAGCAGTGGCAATGGGAGTGTCAATCACTTTTGATGCTTCCATATCAAACCTCTTCAGAAGCTCCTTGATGTATTTCTACTGACTGATGAATGTACCCTTTGTAGTCTGCTTCACTTGAAGACCCTAGAAGAAATTCAATTCACCCATCATGCTCATCTCAAACTCACTTCCCATGAGTTTGGAAAATTCTTCACATAGTGAATCAGCTGTTGCCCCAAAAATGATATCATCAACATATACCTGAACGATGAGCAGGTTCCTCCCACGTTTCTTCAGGAATAAGGTGTTGTCAATTTTTCCTCTTGCAAAACCATTTTCTAAGAGAAACTTTGACAATCTTTCATACTAAGCTCGAGGAGCTTGCTTCAACCCATACAATGCCTTGTCCAATTTGAACACATATTCAGGATGTTCATGACATTCAAAGCATGGAGGTTGCTTTACATAAACTTCTTCCTTGAGGAATCCATTCAGAAATGCACTTTTGACATCCATTTGAAACAAAGTGAATTCCATATGTGATGCAAAGGCGATGAGGATTCTGATGGCTTCCATGCGAGACCTTGAACTACTAGCCTTGCCTTGTTTCTTATAGTGTTTCCATGTTCATCAAGCTTGTTCCTAAATACCCGCCCGGTTCCTATGATAGATCGATCTAAAGGTCGAGGTACCAGGTGCCATATTTTGTTCCTTTCGAACTGATGTAGCTCATCTTGCATGGATGTGATCCAATCTGCATCTTTTAAGGCTTCCTTGATATTTGTGGGGTTCTATTTGAGAAAGAAAGTCTGAGAAGGCAAGTGAATTTCTGGCTTTTGATCGGGTTTGTACTCCGGAATCTAGAGGGGTAAGTATATTGTCAAGAGGATGGGAGCTTTTGTGTTTCCAGTTGGGAACTTGAGCCTCATTTGTAGAGGAGCTGGGTAAGTCTGACTGGTTCCCTAGCATTCTTCTCTCAGCAACCCATGGAGTACCTTGAACTGCATCAACCACTCTTTCTTCAGCTTCAATAGTTGTAATTGTGGTACCTCGTTCTTCTCCTGCCGATGAGGAAGGAACTGCATTGTGTTCACCTGACTCCTTCACTTGACTCATCATGTCTGCCTTTTTGTTTGCCATATCAATGACTTCACCTAGAACTAACAAAGGCTCTCAATCTTGATCACCCTTGTTGCGTTTCTCACAGGAGAGATGTGATTCGTCAAAGATTACGTGTACACTTTTCTCAACACACTGAGTCCGCTTGTTGTATATCTTGTAGGATTTACTTTGAGAAGAGTGCCCCAAAAAGATTTCTTCATCACTCTTGGCATCAAATTTTCCAAGCTGATCCTTTCCATTGTTGAGAACATAACATTTGCACCCAAATGTTCTTAAGTGAGTCAGCTTGGGCTTTCTTTCTGTAAGGCCCCGTGAAAACTTGTACTCGAAACTTAAAAGCTCGTAGTGCCAACTTACGAATATGAGTTAGGAATGTGTAAAATTCTTCAAGCTCGCCGCGTTTTGGACCCTTTGTACTGATATAAGCTTTTACAAATCAAGAATCAAAGTTTTCCAGAAAAGTGCTATTATGCGGTCTAGAATGCGGTTGCAAATCAAGTATGCGGACCGCATTTCTATCGCAAAGTGAGTCAGTGTGTTAGTCAAATTTGAGGTCAAAATGCGGTCCATTATGCGATCGCATAACTGATATGCGGACCGCATAGTCGTCGCATAATTATCTTGGAATTTTGTAAAGGGCAGTTCTACGGTGCATTATGCGACCGCAGAACGGGTATACGGACCGCATTTCTGCCGCAAACCCAGACAGAAGGATCAGATTTTTGGAGCACTTTTGCGGTCCATTTTGCGGGCCGCATTCCCACTTTGCGATCGCATACCTGACTCGGGCCTCCAATTTTTCTAATTTTTAAACCCGACCCCCTATCGATATATTCGATACTATAGCTCATTTTAAGCATATCTTCTGAGACTTTTAGAGAGAGAGAGAGAGGGTCTTAGAGAAGGAAAGTGTCTCCCATCAAATTCTCCTTGAGCCTTGCTAGAACGTTGAAGAAAATCAAGGGAAGACACCTAAATTTTCATTCCCAAGAGGTAAGATTCATCACCTCAGTTCTTATTTCTATACTTAACTATAAGGGGTCTGTAGTGAAGTAATTTATGAGTATAAGAATGAAATTCTTGCATGCATATCACACCATAGGGTATTGGAAGGTAGAAAACTAAAAAGAAGGCAATTGGGGGTATAAAATGATAGAAATTCCTCACAAAAGGGCCTAAGATCACAATGCACCTTTAGTGTTTGATGATATGCTCGAACCAAGCTAGAACTTCAATCTCGTCTCTAATTCTCGGTTCAATTTGTAATTCTTACACAATAGATCGAAGTGCTAAGAGTTCCGGAATTTTGTAAGGATTAAGGAAAGCTAAATTGAGGTATGTATGGCTAAAACCCCCTTTTATTAGAAATTGAGCTCTGTTGGTGTTTACACAAATGTGGTAAGACTAGAACTTGTTGATGTAC